GGGGGTTGCAGAAAAACAAAAAAGAAAAACAGAAAATTGAAAATATAGGGAAAAAAAAAGTAAAATTAGAGCAACTAAGTAAATTTCTAGATAAGTTGGGTTAATATGCCTTTATTTTGGGTGAGTTTCATGGATTGTCTTTGGGCTGTTTAATGGCTCAGAATGGGTTATAAAACATAATTGGTTAACTTGGACTCAACCCAAATAGACCCATAAACTAAAATGTTTGTAGCTCAACCCATTAATATTTGAGCGGATTGAATAGGTTTGGGCTCAAATTCCCACCCTTAGTGCAGACTAAGGAAGCAGATGACACTTGTAACATACAATAATTCCCAGGCTTAGTTACCGTTAGGAGCCTTACCGAAAGTGTGAAGCTAGCTGTCACTAAAGACAAAGTATATGTATATATCAACACTGCATATATGCAGAGACTTGTTTCGAGAGAGGAGTAACAAAAGGGGTTATTTTCTCAATTTGAAGATGTTGGCCGAAACAGATTTCTTCAGCTGCTCCTCACAATCTCTAGCTGCTAATGATATTCTTCCCTTTTCCTCTCATCTCATAAGCAATCCTGAAAGAGGCGTCACTTACAGGTAAGGTTTTTATTTATATTACTTCCTTCTAGTTGTAGAAATTTATTACTCTGTCCCTCTAATTTATTTATAAAATACTTCCTCCGTTTCAAATTACATGAGGTACTTTCTTTTTTAATCTGTTTCAAAATAAATGATACATTTCTAAATTTGGAAATAATTTAACGTTAAACTCTTTATTTTATCCATTTTACCCTTAACTAGGAGAGCCACACAAATATCATGGCCCACAAAGCTTTTAACCCCTTAAGCTTTTAAGACCACAAATTTTAAAATTTTTTTTTCTTAAACTCCGTGCTGAATCAAATTATACGCAGGGAGTATCTTTTTCCTTTTTAGTATGTTTTTAAAAATGATTTAATCTTAAACTTTTCATATTCATCTTAATAAGATGATTTATCGCCACACAAATATGTATGACTTGTTTTAGACAGTACTCCCTCCATTTCAATTTAGATGAGGTAATTTAACTCGGCACGAAATTTAAGAAAAAGAAAGAAGACTTTTAAAACTTATGCTCTTAAAAGCTTGAGGCTAAAAGCTTTGTGGGTCATGATATTTGTGCGGTTATAAAAGCTTCTCATTAATTGTAAAATAGGTAAAATGAAGAGTTTAAAATTAAATTATTTCCAACTTTAAAAATGTGTCATTTATTTTGGAACAAACTAAAAAGGAAACTACCTCATCTAATTTGAGACGAAGGGAGTAAATTTTGAAAAAAATTCTTTCTTTTTTTCTTTATTTTTCGTACCAATTCAAAGTTTATCATATAAACTGGGATGGCGAGAATATAGTATATTACTAGTAGATTGGAAGGTACAAGAATTACAACACAATGTACAACCAAAATGAAGAAAATTATCCTCATTTAACTACTTCTGCATCGAAAGGCTTTTTCCCGTCTTAATTATACTCTGTTTTTGGAATTGGTTTTCTTTTCTCCTGATTTTATGGCGATTTTGATGCAAGGTTTTTAAGTATTAGAGGGAATAAAAAGAGGACAAACTCTCAGGATATTGTGATAACGATTCTAACAAAATTTGGTTAATATATTTGTTCCAGCTGTGGATCGTGTGGATATGAGTTGAACCTCAACTCTTGCAATCGGAATACTCGAGTCATTGGATCAAAATATGGGAAAACAATGAGGAGAGGGGTACTCTCATTTTTATGCATTGATGAGAGCAGATTTACTCAGATAAGTAAACTTAGATGCTCACCTTATTTTAGGTCCAAAAACTCGTGGGGTTTCTTTAAACAACATACTAAACTTTTGTGTCGCAATTGTAGTAGTTACATTGGTATTGCTCATATAGAAAATACTACTAATAATAATACAAGTGCTGCCTCTCTTGCCAGGAAAAATATTAATGTGAAGTCAGGATCAGATGCAACACCTAATTGGGATGGGCTCTCAGCTTGTACAACTAATTATGACATCAAGATATGTGCTTTAAGGCCATCTGTTGCTTTTCTTTGACAGAGTCATTCTGCTGCTCAAGTTTCAAAAGATGGACACTTCCTTCTACTATATGATGATTCTTATTCATTGTTTGTCAAAATGTAACTAAGAGTGTGGGAAAGTGTGCTTTACTAGAAAATGTTTCTCTAAGTGTTGGGTGTAAACGTCAAGTGCGGGTATGTTTTTGTGGTCGTTGATTTTTGTAATTATTATAGCATGTATTACCATAAAACCGATGCTGTCTTATACTTTTTTTTTTTTAAAACACATATTTTACGTGAAATTAATTATGTTACGTAATTTCTCAGTTTTTGACTACTTATAAAACAGAGATATACTCAAAGTGTTCATAAATCACAACAACTCGTAACTAAAACTGTGAATATGAGCTTTCAAGAAAACAGAAGACAAAGCACAATTCTAGAAATAGGGAGATGGCAACTCAATTAAAATTTAAACACTAGATAGGTGGTGTATAATCATAACAAGAAACATCCCTTTGGTGGAAAAGAGCATACTCACAATGTGAAGTGAAAATATGATATAGTAACCTCAAGAAGAGACTTATGAAACAAGCATCGATGAAAATTCCTGCAGTAATTGATAGGCATATTATATATAGTGGGTGCACCAACTTCTAAGTTCTGCCCTCTAAGCTGACCTTCATGCTAAATCAAAACCTAATCTGCCAACCTCAAAACCACCCTCTCTCTATTCTTTTAAAAATAAGCACTACGCATGAATTTTCCATTAATTGACAGAGTTTAATTAAGAAAAGAACCATAATATTGGATGCCTGCAACAGCATGGCCAACCCTTTGTGCTATTTTTCCTTCATCTCCATTTTACTTCTCTTTGCAAATGCGAAAACACAGTACCACGATTTTGTTGTATGTCATTCATGTTTCCCTTAATTCTTTGTCTTGCTAACATTTTGATTTTTTTAGAATTGGAGAATCCTAACCTCTGTTGTTATGGAACAGATTCAAGCAACACCAGTAAAGAGGCTGTGCAAGACCCATAACACTATAACAGTGAATGGACAATTCCCTGGACCAACATTGGAAGTGAATAATGGTGATACTTTAGTCATCAACGTAGTCAACAGAGCTCGATACAACGTCACCATTCACTGGTAAGAAGCGTGCATGTCATAATGCAAAATGAACTACTAAGATATGAAATAAGTAATTTGGTTAAATAAAGCAGCTTACCTGCTACAATACGCTAAAATACATATATATTGGTAAATCTTATTGAACACAATGATATCATACATATGCAATGTCATTTCGTGTGGTTTTTACAACTTTGTTGCATTTCGATTAGGCATGGAGTTAAGCAAATAAGAACAGCATGGGCAGATGGACCAGAATTTATAACACAATGCCCAATTAGACCAGGAGGGAGTTACACTTACCGCTTTACAATTCAAGAACAGGAAGGCACACTTTGGTGGCACGCCCACAGCTCATGGCTCAGGGCCACAGTATACGGAGCTTTAATCATCCACCCAAAAGAAGGAGAATTCTACCCATTTCCCAAGCCCAGAAGAGAGACACCCATTCTGCTAGGTACTGATTCCTGCCCAAAATAAGCGAAAGAATCGAAAACAAATACCACCCAAGCGGTTCCAGATCAAAATTATGGTTTGACATTTTATGATTAGGTGAGTGGTGGGATGCAAACCCAATTGACGTGATAAGACAAGCTACAAGAACTGGAGCAGCTCCAAATGTATCAGATGCATACACCATCAATGGTCAACCAGGTGACCTCTACAGGTGTTCAAGTAAAGGTTTGTTCCAATCTCTGAAACATTTGAAACATGATCAATTTAAGTCATATACATAGTGTAAAGACTTTTTAACTATTGATGATGTAGTTTAATTTACCTGCGATAGCAGGCGATTATCATCTTTACCAGGTATCTGATAATTCTTACTGCTTAGCATAAAGATTCAGAATAACTATCATATTTTCATAGTAATCATCTAGTTGGATTCACCTTTATGCAGATACTACCATAGTGCTTGTGGACTCTGGTGAGACCAGCCTCCTTCGAGTTATCAACGCTGCACTAAATCAGCAGCTTTTCTTCACTGTGGCCAACCACAAGTTAACTGTTGTTGGAGCAGACGCCTCTTATGTTCAACCCTTCACCACATCAGTGCTTATGTTAGGTCCAGGCCAAACTACTGATGTTCTTATCACTGGTAACCAGCCACCAGCCAGATACTACATGGCAGCACGAGCTTACGCAAGTGCTCAAGGTGCACCTTTTGACAACACTACTACCACTGCTATCCTTGAGTACAAGAATACTCCATGCGCTGTTCAGGGGATCAAGATCAATCCAGTTTTTCCATCTTTACCACAATTTAACGACACTGCCACAGCCGCTGCATTCACAACAAGTTTCAGAAGTCCAAGCAAGGTCGAGGTGCCCACTGAAATTGATGAGAACTTGTTCATTACAGTTGGGCTGGGACTCAAAAATTGCCCAAGAGGTGCGTTAAAATATAAGCTAAGCTCTTCATAACGTTCCTTAAACTCCTAGTTGCATGAACAACAAATAGAAGTAATAAACATTCTAGGATGACACATTGAATAACTCAGAGAACACTTGTTTAACTTTTAAGTTCATTATTTCCAACTAGGTGCAAGCTCCAGCAGTTGTCAAGGTCCAAATGGAACTCGATTCGCTGCCAGTATGAACAATGTGTCTTTTGTGCTACCGCCTAACTTCTCCATTCTGCAAGCACATCAACAAGGCATACCTGGAATTTTTTCAACTGATTTCCCAGCAGTTCCACCTGTGAAATTCGATTATACGGGTAACGTCATCCAATCACTCTGGCAACCAGTTCCAGGAACTAAGGTTTACAAGCTAAAATATGGGGCAAAAGTGCAAGTTGTATTACAGGGAACAAGCATCGTCACAGGTGAAAACCACCCTATCCATCTTCATGGATATGATTTTTACATCATTGCTGAGGGCTTTGGGAACTTTAATCCACAAACTGATACAGCTAAATTCAATCTTGTTGACCCACCTCGTAGAAACACGGCAAGCTTACCTGTCAATGGATGGTCAGTCATCAGATTTGTTGCTGACAACCCAGGTGAAGGGCCACAAATATTTATTTTATCTTTTACAAAAGAATTAAGTTTTATTCACCGTCAGTATAAAATATATTTACATAATTAGGTCACGTAGAAGATATTTACAAGATAAATCTTTATGATAGAAGTTAACAGGTAATATGATAAAAATGATAATGAACATGCTATTCCCTAATATGAACCTTGAGTTATGAAACTACATTTCCATTATCAGTGTATATAACTTCAATCCTTTTATAATTTCCAATTCTTCTCCGCATCGAGCTTTTGGACTTACATTTTTTTTTTTTTGTTGTTGTTGTTAAATAGGAGTCTGGTTAATGCACTGCCACTTGGATGTTCATATAACTTGGGGTTTGGCCATGTCTTTCCTGGTGGAAAATGGAGTTAATGAATTGGAATCATTGGAAGATCCTCCAGTCGATTTGCCTGTCTGTTGAAAAACACAACAATTAATTAGAACACAATACAAATCACGTCAAACGTTTTAGTTCCCCCTTTCCCCAAACAAACATTTGGGGGCTAGCTAGTTCGTTTCTTTCTCCAATTTTTTCCTTCCAATTATATTCCCTAATTGTTAGGAGTAATTTTTTTATGGATGACTGGGTAAAGATGGTGCCACTAAATCAATGCACCGTCGTCTGTAGTAGAATTAATCCCAGCATTTTCCCAGATTTTTAGACCAGTTAAGAAAAAATGAAAACTTTTAAAATTTGTGTGATTATAAAAGTTTTGAAAATTTAAGCTAAATTGTTTTCAAATTTAGAACTGGGTTATTATTTTTGGAATGGACCAAAAAAAAAAATAGGTTCATATAAAGGGTGTGTTTGGTATGAAGGAAAACATTTTCCGGAAAATATTTTCCAATTTTCTCATATTTGGTTGGCTTAAATATTTTGGAAAATATTTTCCTCCAATTGGAGGAAAATGTAGGAAAAACATTTTCAAAAACTCCTTCTCAAACTTCCCCACCCTATTCTTTACCCTCACCAACCCACCCCACACCCACCGCAACCCACCTACCCCACTCCATGCCCTCTCTTCAAAAAGGTTTTTTTTTGTCACCCCCACCCACCCCCACCCCGCAAAATTTTTTTTTTTTTTTTTTGTAATTTTCAAATTTCTGTTTTTCTGTCCCCTGCCCCCACTCCCGCACAAATTTTTTTTTTTTTACTTTTTTTGTAATTTTCAAATTTCTGTTTTTTTTTGGCACCACCAACCTCCCTCCCCCCGTGCTCTTCCCCCCCCCCCCCCCCAAAAAAAAAATTACTTTACTTTTTTGTAATTTTCAAAATTTCTATTTTTTTTTCTGCCCCCCCCCCACCCCCACCCCACCCGCACCCACGCCCCCACCTCCCTCCCGGCCGCTGCCCACACCCCTGCCCCTACTCCCACACAATTTTTTTTATTACTTTTTTTGTAATTTTCAAATTTTATTTTTCTTTTCTGCCCCCCCCCCCCCCCCCCATAACCGCCTGGCCCCACCCACCCCGAGAAAAAATATTTTTTTTTTTATAAATTTTCAGTTTTACTTTTTTCGTCTTTCGGTTTTCAAGTTCAAAAGTTATGAGTTCGGAAGTTTATGTGTTTCGAAGTTTACGGGTTTAGAAATTATAAAGTTTACGGATTCGAAATTTCGCGGTTTCGAAAATTTTGCGGTTCAGAAGTTTATGAAATTTGTGGCGGAGGTTGTTGGTTCGAAAGTTTATGGCTTCATGTTTATTGTATCAAAATTATTTATGAATACTCTTGAGAAAATATTTTCCTTGATTTGCGTACCAAACACCAGAAATGAATAAGATTACTACTTGTTTTCCAAGAAAATATTTTTCATGGAGAACATTTTTCTTTATACCAAACACACCCAAAATGAAACCGAGGGAGTATATATTATTAAAAGGAGAGGATCTGCTTAAGCCAAGTGGTGGCCTAGAAAAAAAGCCACATATTAATAATTAGTTATTTAGTTAATAATAATTAGTTATTGGTTATTATTTTTTAATTTAAATACCTATAAAATAAAAAATAAAATATTTTATAATACAAAACGAAAATTTTAAAAAAGTCTATCCATTCAAATAGGAAAGTAGTTTAAAGTTGGAGTTTTAAAATTGTTTTAA